AACAAGAAGAACGAGAAAGAAATTTGCGAGAAATTTGGCATCAGCAAGGCTGAGCGGGCGTGGATCTGCGCATACCAGCCGAGGGGTGCCAAGGAAACTGAGGAGTGACGGTATGAGACCAGGCCTTGGGCCTGGATGAGAGGAGGAGGAAAGGGCAAAGAAAAAGAAGAGGGTACAAGAAGAAAGGAAGAGGACAGTGAAGAGGGCCGTCAAAAAGAAACCAGGAGGGAAGCTAGGAAAAAGCAAAAGAACAAAGTGACCGGCGAAGGCCTAAGAATTACTACTTGGAATGGAGGAGGACGAGGCTCATCCACACCATGGAAGAAGAAAAAGAAGACGACACAGACATTTTCTGCTTGCAGGAGGTGACATGCAATGAGGACCAATGGATTGGCGTTGAGAACGCATTTGCCAGAAGAGGATACAAATGCTACTACACCTCCTCAGAAGGAACGAGGAAAGTTGAAGAACGCAGAAGGAGAGTGGCCAGCGAAAGAACGAAGGAAGGAGGAGTGGCGATCATCGTCAAAGCCTTTCTACCCCAACGTTTGATGGGCAGAAGACAGGGAGAGCACGCCCAACTCTTAGCAGTCGAGGTTATGGGGAAGATGATTATGACGACCTACAGTCCACCAAGAGGAGAACAGATCCTGGAAGGGGCCAACCTGGCACACGACTGGTTCCACGCGGTGGGATGGACAGGAAAATGGGTTTGGTGCGGCGACTTCAATCAGTCGTGGCACGATGCCTATGCGAGAACAGTCGCCTTGCTGAATGGAGGGGATCAGGTCGAGATCTCCAAGGACCTCTCCGAAACGAGATGGGAAGGAAGGACAATTATCGACTACTTCGTCGCATCACACCCGGAGGAGTTTACCGCTATGAAAGCAGGAAAGGCCAAACTCAGCGATCACAAGTTGTGCTCGACGACCTGGAGATGCAATGCACCACAAAAACCAGCGGAAGGAAGGTTCAAGAAAGTGGTACAACACAACAAGCCAAGATGGCTGACATGGAGCCAATGGAGGAAATATGTGCAAGAAGCATGGGAGGATGGAGAAAAGCAAGGATGGAGAGGCATTGTCAGGAAAGTCGAAAGTAGACTACATTTGAGAGACATCCCAAGCCAGAACGAAAGCTTCGTGATGGAATTCCGCTGGGAGACGATCATCCTGAAGTTAGAGCAATGCTTCTGTAAGGCAGCCCTATTCGCCATGTGGGATCTTGAAGAGGAAGACTTGGATACGCGTAGGAATGTCAAGGATTTGGAAAGAAGACCAGCAGCAAAGCAATGCAGGAGCGGTAAGCCAGAGGTAAAAGCCCATGACATACCAAGGACTCCGCAAAAAAGGACCATCAAATTGAGGAAAACGGTTCACTATGCAGGGCGGTGCATAGAATTGAGGAGAAGGCTGGAAAAGCAAAAATACGACAAGGAAACGAGACGATTAGAAGAGAAGATTTTCGGAGCCGAAGAAAAGAGGAGTGAGGAAGAGAAGATCGAAGCACTCAAAGAGATTAGCAAAGAGGCGGAAAAAACCATCAAAGAGGAGGAGGAAAGAGGACAAGAAGAAAGGATCCAAATTTGGAAACAAAGAATGAAGGAAGACATGAGCGCAAGAGGAAAATGGCTTAAGAAGGAAACCTTCAAGAAAGGAATGCACTTAGAAGACGATGAAGGCGTGTACACCAACAAGGAGGAGGCCACCCTTGCCCTGAAAAAATACTGGAAGAAGGTGAGAAGCCAAGGAAGAGAAGGCCAAGACAAGGAGGAAAGGCGGTACACTAACCAAAACCGAGAAATAGTGAATGAAATCCTGCAAGTATATGAGGAGACAAAAGCAAGAGAAGAAGAAGGAAGAGCGGGCCCAAGGAAGGCAAGACCCACCCACAAAGCATTCTGGCGGGCCTTGAGGAAAGCCAAAGGCAGCCATGGAGCCGACCAGTGGACAAGCGAAGAAATGAAAGCGCTCCCGGAGGAAGCCGCCCGTGAAATGTGGGAGGCAATGGAGATGTGGGAAGACCTGGAGATGGTGCCAGAGCAGATGCTACACTTCAGGCAGGTCTTTTTACCCAAAGAGAAGGAGAAGGGCAACCACCAAGTGGAGAAAATGCGGCCTATCACAATTTCATCGGTGATGTGGAGAGCCTGGTCACGCACATGGGCGCAATCCGAACCATTGGAAGCAATGAGGAAAAAATATATTCCAGGATGGGTAGGAGGATACAAAGGTGCCGCCGGCCCAGAAACCCTGGCGGCCCTGTTGCAGGGACAGTTCGACTCCATGGGATTCATCGCCGCCTTGGATTACTCCAAAGCCTTTGACATGGTGAACGTGGAGATGTGGAACCGTCTTATGGAGGGGTTGATTGAGTCCACAGCTCAAGCAGCGGAACTTCACGGCTGGAGGAAAGTGCTGAGAACAGTTTGGACTCAGCAAAGCAGATGGTGCAGCTATGAAGGGCACATCAGCGACACACCTGAGCTGGTCACCCGGGGCATTCCCCAAGGGGACCCCTCATCACCCTGTGCACTTTCATACCTTATGGCAGGAGCTGCGCTGACAGGATGAAAGATCATGATGGTCATACGGATAATGATGATAAGAAAGACGACTGTCAGGATAACTAGCATCGTAGCATCCTTGGCGTTACCAATGCTGCCTAACGCCACATTTGAAATGTATAGAAGAAAGACATGATGATGACAATCACGATGACGATGATTAAGGTGATGACTGTGATGACGATCATCATGAAGATGATAAGGATGATGACTGTCACGATAACTATCATCGTAGCATCCTCGGCGTTACCAATGCTGCCGATGACTGTCCTGATAACTATCATCGTAGCATCCTCTTCATCCAATGCTACAAAATCAGGGATCAAAATGGTCATACGCATAATTACGATAAGGATGACGACTGTCATGATAAGCATCGTCACAGCATCCTCTGCAGTACCAATGCTGCCTAACGCCACATGTGAGACGTATAGAAGAAAGAGATGATGATGACAATCATGACGGCCATGATGATGGTGATGACTGTGATGACAATCATCATGAAGTGACACATCGCACACGAGGATGGTGATGAGTATAGTGATAATGATGCTGATGATGATGCTGATGAGGATGAATCTTTGGTTATGCTTATGTGCCAACCACCCTTCCCATGCGCCTCCCCTTTTTAGAGAAAGGGTCGGCGGATAAATATGTTCTAATCTGTGACCAGTCTCGAGGTGGCCGGGGCAGCGGCCGGGCCTGGAGATCCCGCGGCTCCGATTCCGCGCGCAGTGGCTTCGACGAAATCGGAGTTTTCCGAAGCGCCTTCCAAAGTCCAAATGAAAGCCATTGGATTCATTGGATCGTTGGGATTGTCCTTGCGAACGCTTGCCGGCAATGTTATCCATGTTTGCCTACCGCCTCGTTTGTTCCACATCGGGCGGAAAGAATACTGGTCCAAGCTTCCGCGGCTGTCCGAAGTCACAGCGAAGGTGGCCGCGCGAGGAGAGACCTAGCCTTGGGCACTCAGGCAGCAAGACGTGGGATCAGCTTTCAGAGCCGAACGTTTTGTTGAGTCTTTGAACTTGCTAGGAAAGTTCAAGCTCAGACTTTCGGAACCCAAAGACAACCGAGGCCTGGCGTGGGTGTTTGGCAGTCCTTCCAGGGCGAAGCTTGGCAAAAGGGGGGTTTGAATGTCGGCGTGGTGCACTAGGCGTGTCAGATCTGATTGGTGGCAGCGGGCTCGTTTGTAAGAATGGCTTGTTGGCAAACATGCCGACCGTTTTCAATCAACCAATAAGTCGTGTTTGTCTTGAGCTAGCGCACATGAGTGGCTATGCTGCCATCGCACATTATTTTCTTTCTTCCTGAGCTCGCACGCCTGCGCATGCCTTTGGGGCGTTGCCGAACGCGCCTTCTGTCCCCAAGCCACGAGGATTTTGCCCAGATCTTCCAGCAGGGCCGCCGAGCCAGGGAGCACGAGGCCGAGAAAGGGGCTAAGTGACCTTGCAGGAAGCCCTGTGACAAGTCGAGTTCAGTGTAAGGCAAAGACGTTCGGGTTTCGGGTTTTCTGCTAGTGAGAATAGTGAGACAAGTTTCAGGCGCAAAGCCGACCGCAGATCCGGGCTTCGGAGTGGACGGAGGCGGGGTTTCCAAATCTGATGGCACGGCTTTGAGTCCGCTCCAGGAGACCTCGGAATGCTCGGAGTGCTCCATTTGCTTGGCAAACTTGGCGCCTAGTATGAAGATAGAATGACGAAACGAGCGTTGATTTCGCTTTATTTGATAACGTGACTGTCATGACCCTTCTATATGACCCATGGCCTTTGTCAAATGTCCCAAGCCTTTGAGCTCATCGCACTCAAATTGGGGGCGCAAAGTTGAGCTGAGGAGCCGGGCGTGCTGGTTTCCTCTTTGCCATGCCGACGCTTGGCAAACGTGGCTGTTGCAAGATGCTAAGCTTTGCTGAGCTTTTCTTCAACACGCGCCCTGGATATGTTTGGGCTTTTCGCAACTTCAGGTCACGTGTTCCACTTCGAGTGCATTGCTCGGTGGATGTTGCAAGCGAGGGCGAACCGCGCCTGCTGCCCTCTCTGCCGGACACAAGTTGAACAGGTGTAGCCACTTGGACCGCAGGCCACCTTTGACCAGTAATCAGCATTTCCTGCTAGCTCTGTTTCCGGCACTGGCCATGTGTTAAAGTGCACAGAGCTTCGCATTGAGCCGTCAAGTTCTCAGTGCCTTGCCTTTCATTGCCCATCCAGCAGGTAAGTCCCCAACCTGGCGGACGCTGCGCCGCGCAACCAAAAAGAGCAGTTGTGCAGGGCTTGCCGTGGGCCGCATGGATCTAACCCTGTGCCTTGTGAAATGCCAGACAGCGTCATATCGAGCCAAACAACAGGCCCTGAAGAGAGGATTTGAAGATTTTGAAGGAAGGCAACCAATAGCAAGCATTGCACGGAAGTGCAATATGTGGTGAACTGTGCCGGAGGCGTTTGTCCACTGCTGAGCCCCTTCTGACCAGAACGCTGCAGTCAGTGCTGTGGCCCTGAAGTCGTGTCACTCGTTCCTTGTGAGACTGTGCGCCATTCCGGGGGTCAAGACCGATCCAAGAACCAGAGCCTTCGGAGTCTCCAGTCGGACTGTTTTGGGACCACAGCTGTCTTTGAGGCAGACGTCCATGCAGGCGGCATTTCCGCTTCTAACGCTGCCGCTTGGGCGCAATATGATCGTTCAGCAACAGGGGGAGGGCAGTAGGACCATTAGGGCCATCAGGGCCACTAGGTGGCTTGTTAGTCTCGATTCGCTTTGATGTTTCGTTGCAAGCCTTGCAAACTGCAAGGGCTCCGAGACGCGTGGCCCTGCAAACTTCCCTCACCAAGTAGCAAACCTCGCACGCTCGGCCGCCGTGCGCGCGAGGACGGAGCTGTGGCAAACGCTCCACGTGCTGGACACGGTGCTGGACCGGGCGGTTTCATTCTGTTCGTGCGTTGTGACATTGCGCGGATGCGAGCTGTACGAATGGTATGTGGTGTGTGTGCATGAGCACCATGAGCATTTTTTTAGCATGCCCTGGCCCCGGGAAGTTTGGCTACCCCATGCAAAAACATCAAACACCATGCTTTTCAAAGACAGATGCCAACGTGGCCATCGATCCGATTGGTGACTTGAAGTCACAAGCCGCTGCACTTCGGCTTGGATAGGAGCGCAACGGGCAGCTGAAGGGTGTGCTGGGCGGAAAGCCCAGCTTGTGGCTTGTGTCAGAAGCTTGCAAGACAAACTACGAGTCGGAGACCTGTTGAAACCATTCTGCAGAGTGGCTGAGATCGAAGCCTAACTGTTGGAACTCCAAAGAATGGCCTTTGCACGGCCTTGTAGGGTTTGAGCGAGAAAGAACCTGCATGTGCATGAAGGTCCTGGGTCAGCAGGGAAGCCCTTCTTGTCCTTCCCCATGCTTGCGCTGGCAGATTTGGCAGGAAAGCCCAGACTGCGCGTCAAGTTGGTTTGGCCACGGCCAGGTGCCAATGTCAAGTCTTGCGCTTGCGCCATGAATGTCAAGTGAACACACGGTTTTCGACCTATTTTCCCTTTGAAACCTATGCCTACACCTTTTTGGCCGTTCCTCACGCTTGTTTCACATTGGAGACGTGCATCCCTTCCTTGGAACCTTACGGGCCTTTCTTTCAATCGTGGCATTCAGCCTTGCCTTTGTTTTGATCCTTGCATGACCTTTCAGCCTTGCCGATCAATTTTTCCACCCTGTCTCGCCAAGGAGCCTGTTTGCCTCCACCGGCCATCGCAAGCTGCCACGCCGTGTGTCCTTCTTGCCCTCTCTTTTGCTATTCCTTCCACGCATTAAGCCTCCAAGCTGTCTTGCTCGATATTTTCGAGCATCCACCTTCTGAAGCTGCCGTGCTCCTTGTGCTCCAGCTGCCCCAACACCCCACCCCTTCCAAGCTTGCTCCAAACCTGGCCCAATCCGAGAGCTCTACGCGATGAGCCCTACCAAACCGAACGCCGACCTCAAACCGACGCTAACGCCACGCTGGCCTAACAGACGCCTAAACAGCTAGGAACCAACCCTCAGTGACTCAAACTCGGGCCTGTTCAGGCCTGAAAGCAACCCTGAACGCACTGTCCTGGAGTCCACTTAAAGCCAAACGTTGTGCCAACCCTGCCTCAGGCCGACACGAAGACAGTCCAACCCTGAACCCCTTCTAAACCCCCAACCCTAAACCCATCAACCAATCCTTATTCCGGTGCCTGGCAACACCAAACAGTTCCCTTGAACCTGTCAACCACAAAGAAAACAGAGCTTTTGCCATCCCAAACCAACCCAAAATCGACCGGAGAAGCAAGCCCTAGCAGACCTTACCCTAGCCAAGCATCATAGACTAATTGCGAATCAACCGTAAACCAGCGCTTTGCTTTTCAGGTCTTCAGGCTCTTGAGGCCGGGTTTTTTGGGATTCAACAGTTTACCCCCTCCATCGCCAACAGTGACACACAGATCTAGGATCAACGACATAGCTTTCCCATGCTCCCCTTTTGCGATGGCATGAACTATGTGAACCAATCCGCTGAGGTCCTGGTGAAAGCATTCTATATTGCGAACTCCACCTTTTCTGCGGCTTGACTGCGTACAGGATGTGGAAGCTAGGCTTTGCTTTGAATTGGGTTCAAGGCCTAGGGCGCTTCGCAGGTTCCCCGCTTTGAAGCTGTCACGCATGCTCACAGGTCCAGCGGCTGTCAGAAACACACCCTGAGTGAACACAAAGTCTGAAAAGTCCGAGATCCACTCTCGACTCAGAGCTCGCAGGTTATCACTCGCAGCGATTGCAGTGCGCTGGTGGACCGGGTGATGACCACGACGCTGGGCATAGGCGGGGCCTGGGCGGCCTCGGGCCTGAGGGTCTGAGGTGGTGGCATCGGTCGCATGCGGGGCATACGTGCGTGTCGGGTGCAGGGGATGCCTCGGCGGCCACGGGGAATTTCAACTCCGTGCCGCTGGAGGCAGATGCGACTCAGCCAGCGCGATTCGTTCGCCTTAAAACGTGTACCAATAAATGGCAATAGATTACAAAAAGCATCAGCACCCGAGAAGCCTTTGCTTTCGCGCGAGATCGCCGAATCGGAAGGTGTCAAACAGCGGCCGGGCATTGATTCTCAGCAGCCGGAGCTTTGAGAGCTTCAGCTTCATTTCGCCAGGATTCTCAGCTTGGAGAGCTTTGGCTGACGGCAGTTGAGCAAGCTCTGAGTTTTCGGGGTTTGCTCTGTCACGAAAGGCCTCGAGGCCTTGAGTCCTTGGGTCTGAGGCCCGGGGTGCAATGCATCCACAAATCCGAGAAATCCGAAAATCCCAGTCTGAGACTTTAATGATTTTGTCGGTTTGTTGAGTTCGGAGACTTTGAGCTTTGCTCGCATTGGCCGCCTATGCGGCGATGTTCGATCGCGATGTGGGGCTTGCTATCTTTCATGTCTCTTTCTCAAGTCTAGCACGTTGGCTCAACACAGCGTGGGGTTGCTGGTGTGGGGGATGCCGCGCTTTGAATAACATCTCAAGCAACGTATGATGCGCACGCATGAACAACTGTGGCTCTTGCAAGTGCGGCAGACTTGCGCACATGTGACCAGGGCAAAAAGAGGCCCAAAGGCCCCCCCCCACTCCAGCCTGGTGGGGAAACGCGCAAGTGAAGGCAGCACATAGCAAGCTGACAAACCACATTAATTACATGCACACATCTTTTGTTTCTTGCAAGTGCGGCAAGCCTCTCAGGGTTGACCCAACATGTTGGCCATAGGTCCGGGCTGAACGTGGACCTCACCACACAAACGATCGTGGACCGGCCCTATCCAGGACTGAGACCAGCAGCAGGGGCTTTTGCGTCGGCCTTCGTTTGCGTGGCAGCGGGCAGGTTTGACAATTCCGCCGGTCTTTGGCGACCGGTACAATGCACTGGTGGACAACGCCTGGCCCCTAAAATGCAGAAAAATCACAGCACTAAGGCTCCCGTTCCTGAACATCTGTTTTCAAGGGCCCCTGAGGGGGTCATGAGCCGGGAGGTTGGAGCCAAACAAGAGAGGCCTTGCAGGTCTTTTGCAGGCGAAGGGACAAATGACAAAACATGCAGGTCACTACGCTGGGCGGACCACCACTTTGTTTAGGTGCGAAGCTTAGAGCGTGGGCCAGATGCATATGCCACATGCCCTCAGAATTTCCAATCTCCCATAAGACATTGAGGACAAGAGAACACTTTGATGGGCCGCTTCGACCTCCTGATTCTGTCCGGGACAAAGAATATCAGCTTTCACAATGCTTCAAAACCAAATCGAATCGAGGCAGTGGGGCTTCAATACCCTTGCCGTGGGCGCCCGATTGGGCAGCCTCGCACCCAGCGGCGGAGCTCGGAAGCCCAGAGAGCCTTGTGCGGAAATCGATGCACAGCATATGTGACCAGAGAGATATCACTACGCGTGAGCTACGCGTGAGCTATGCGTGAGCTACACGTGAAACACGCAAGGCCTTGATCTCCGTGCGGGATATCCGTAGTGGCCTGAGCAAGTTCATGACAAAGTTCTCAGGTTTTGTGAGGGTTCTGCACAGGCATCCGAAGCTGCGGTGTGGATGTGCCACTGGGCCCTGCCGCGCTGGACGGCCAGGAGCGGTGGTTTGTTAGCCCGACTTCCAGAATCCACGGCCAAGATGACCCATGGAGCATTGCTTTGGTCGCAAGAATTCTACACAGCCTGAGCGGTGAAGCATTTGCCATCAGGACATCGAGCTGCTTTGGGAATTGCCGGAGCCTGTCATTGCAGAGAGGAGATGGGGTGTGGGGCCCAAGACTCCGAGAGCTCAAGGGGCTGGCTGAATGATATTTTGGCAATGGGCGAAGCTAGAACCTCAGGGACTGGCTGTCCGAGCCATGCCCAGTTTGCCTGCAGGCTATGGCAACATCTCGCCCTTCCGATGCGTGCGCAGCAGCCACAGGTGTTGAGTGCTTTGCCGGAGCGATCAGCACAAACATGAGGTTTCTTTGTGAGCGTTTCCGCTACCCAGGTACCGTTGCGTACTTTAGAGCCTCCGGCTCAGTCCGCCGACATTGTCCTTTCCCTTTTCTCCTTCTTCCTCTCTTCCTTGTCTCCCTTGTGTGTTCTGTCGTCCTCTCTCCCTCCCTCTGCTCCCATCATCCCCATCCCCCCAAGCCTCTCTCTCCCCAATCTCCCTCTCGCGTATGTATGCATGCATGTACATAAGTATGTATGTATGTATGCATGCATGCATGTATGTAATGTATGTATGTATGTATGTATGTATGTATGTATGTATGTATGTATGTATGTATGTATGTATGTATGTATGTATGTATGTATGTATGTATGTATGTATGTATGTATGTATGTATGTATGTATGTATGTATGTATGTATGTATGTATGTATGTATGTATGTATGTATGTATGTATGTATGTATGTATGTATGTATGTATGTATGTATGTATGTATGTATGTATGTATGTATGTATGTATGTATGTATGTATGTATGTATGTATGTATGTATGTATGTATGTATGTATGTATGTATGTATGTATGTATGTATGTAATGTATGTGTAATGTATGTATGTATGTATGTATGTATGTATGTATGTATGTATGTATGTATGTATGTATGTATGTATGTATGTATGTATGTATGTATGTATGTATGTATGTGTATGTATGTATGTATGTATGTATGTATGTATGTATGTATGTATGTATGTATGTATGTATGTATGTATGGATGTACGTATGTATGTATGTATGTATGTAATGTAATGTAATGTACTGTAATGTAATGTAATGCAATGTAATGTAATGTAATGTAATGTAATGTAATGTAATGTAATGTAATGTATGTAATGTAATGTAGTGTAATGTAGTGTAATGTAGTGTAATGTAATGTAATGTAATGTAATGTAATGTATGTATGTATGTAATATGTACGTATGTATGTATGTATGTATGTAATGTATGTATGTATGTATGTATGTATGTATGTATGTATGTATGTATGTATGTATGTATGTATGTATGTATGTATGTATGTATGTATGTATGTATGTATGTATGTATGTAATGTATGTATGTATGTATGTATGTATGTATGTATGTATGTATGTATGTATGTATGTATGTATGTATGTATGTATGTATGTATGTATGTAATGTATGTATGTATGTATGTATGTGTATGTATGTATGTATGTATGTATGTATGTATGTATGTATGTATGTATGTATGTATGTATGTATGTATGTATGTATGTAATGTAATGTAATGTAATGTAATGTAATGTAATGTATGTATGTATGTATGTATGTATGTATGTATGTATGTATGTATGTATGTATGTATGTAATGTATGTATGTATGTATGTATGTATGTATGTATGTATGTATGTATGTAATGTAATGTATGTATGTATGTATGTATGTATGTATGTATGTATGTATGTATGTAATGTAATGTAATGTAATGTAATGTAATGTAATGTAATGTAATGTAATGTAATGTAATGTAATGTAATGTATGTATGTATGTATGTATGTATGTATGTATGTATGTATGTATGTATGTATGTATGTATGTATGTATGTATGTATGTATGTATGTATGTATGTATGTATGTATGTATGTATGTATGTATGTATGTATGTATGTATGTATGTATGTATGTATGTATGTATGTATGTATGTATGTATGTATGTATGTATGTATGTATGTATGTATGTATGTATGTATGTATGTATGTATGTATGTATGTATGTATGTATGTATGTATGTATGTATGTATGTATGTATGTATGTATGTATGTATGTATGTATGTATGTATGTATGTATGTATGTATGTATGTATGTATGTATGTATGTATGTATGTATGTGTATGTATGTATGTATGTATGTATGTATGTATGTATGTATGTATGTATGTATGTATGTATGTATGTATGTATGTATGTATGTATGTATGTATGTATGTAATGTATGTAATGTATGTATGTATGTATGTATGTATGTATGTATGTAATGTATGTAATGTAATGTAATGTAATGTAATGTAATGTAATGTAATGTAATGTAATGTAATGTATGTATGTATGTATGTATGTATGTATGTGTGTATGTAATGTGTATGTATGTATGTATGTATGTATGTATGTATGTATGTATGTATGTATGTATGTATGTATGTATGTATGTATGTATGTATGTATGTATGTATGTATGTATGTATGTATGTATGTATGTATGTATGTATGTATGTATGTATGTATGTATGTATGTATGTATGTATGTATGTATGTATGTATGTATGTATGTATGTATGTATGTATGTGTATGTATGTATGTATGTATGTATGTATGTATGTATGTATGTATGTATGTATGTATGTATGTATGTATGTATGTATGTATGTATGTATGTATGTATGTATGTATGTATGTATGTATGTATGTATGTATGTATGTATGTATGTATGTATGTATGTATGTATGTATGTATGTATGTATGTATGTATGTATGTATGTATGTATGTATGTATGTATGTATGTATGTATGTGTATGTATGTATGTATGTGTATGTATGTATGTATGTATGTATGTATGTATGTATGTATGTATGTATGTATGTATGTATGTATGTATGTATGTATGTATGTATGTATGTATGTATGTATGTATGTATGTATGTATGTATGTATGTATGTATGTATGTATGTATGTATGTAATGTATGTATGTATGTATGTATGTATGTATGTATGTATGTATGTATGTATGTATGTATGTATGTATGTATGTATGTATGTATGTATGTATGTATGTATGTATGTATGTATGTATGTATGTATGTATGTATGTATGTATGTATGTATGTATGTATGTATGTATGTATGTATGTATGTATGTAATGTATGTATGTATGTATGTATGTATGTATGTATGTATGTATGTATGTATGTATGTATGTATGTATGTATGTATGTATGTATGTATGTATGTATGTATGTATGTATGTATGTATGTATGTATGTATGTATGTATGTATGTATGTATGTATGTATGTATGTATGTATGTATGTATGTATGTATGTATGTATGTATGTAATGTATGTATGTATGTATGTATGTATGTATGTATGTATGTATGTAGGCATGTATGCATGTATGTATGTATGCATGCATGTATGTATGTATGCATGCATGCATTCATGCATGTATGTATGTATTTCCCGCAAAAAACACGGTTTTTCCAGCGTTTTCGCAAAGAGGACGTCCAAAAACATTGAGTTTTTCCAGATTTTCAGCAAAAGGATGCAGGAAGCCCAAGCCAGCAAAAAAGCCGGCAGGGGGAATCGAGCCTGGGACCCCTGTTTTGCGACACCAGCTCCCCGAAGACTATGTTTAGTGGAACGTCATCAAATTGCCGCGCGGTACGTGGGGGACCCCCCCCCCAAAAAAAAAACACAAACCTACGTAATAGACGTCGGGCGGGGGGGGGGGTTAGGGGGGGGGGGGTTATCCTCTATCCTCTAGTAAGTATCCGACACGCCGATGTCGGCGGATATTCACGAAGTGTTTCACCAACGGGTTTTGGGAGAAGCTGGTTCAAGGCCCCTACAAGGTCTTTTTGGGAGTTTCACAGTGAGTGCTTGGCGGATCCCTCAGGATGGGTCTCCTCGGGCATCGGACGACCTGGCCAGTGGCTGGTGGAGGGTTTGGCTCTAAGTGGCAATTGGGACAATTGGGAAAGCAAAGACCTCTTAAAACTTTTAAACCAATTGAACTTAATTGAACCTCAGCGATTGCAGGCCCTGGGAATCCAAGGTTGCACCAGTGTCTACAGAGTGTATGCCTGAGAACCTTGAAGATAACCGCGTGTGCTCGGCCCTTGCAATTTGTGCACTCGCCCTAGACACGTCCGTTTTGTCATTGATAAGGGGCCTTGCGAGTTTTGCAGAACTCGGCCTTTGAGCACCCGAGGGCAAGGAGGAAGCCCCCGTTGGTGACAAGGAAGGCCTTGCCGAGGGAGTGCTGCGCTGCAGGCCTTCCGAAAACCGAGCAGTGCGGCATCTGTCGAGCTCTCGGATTGGCTTTGAAGGTGCAGCAGCCTCATCCCGGGCACGTGGGCCGTGGAGATCGTGCTTGGGCTCAGGGTGCATCGCGCGGACGGGCTCAGAGCGCACATGCCTTCTCAGTGAATCTGGGCAGTTGTCATTGCATGATTCCGCCCAATAGCGGGAGCCCTTTCTCAGAGTTGGCCATGCGCATAGCCTGCGGTGCACAAGTTCACGGCTTCCCCTCCATGGCTTCATGTTGGTTTCCCTTTGAACCGCCTGTGAGAAATGTCCAGTGTTTTGACAGTCGACCGCATGCGTCGCCTGCACGGGGGGTGGAGTTCGCATCCGCAGCACTTGGGCTCAGAGCTCCGCCAAGCGGCGAGCACCGCAGGATCGGACATATTGGGATGTGGGACATGTGAGACGCGGGTGCAGGGTGCAGGGTGCAAGCAGGGTGCCAGCAGGGTGCAACCAGATATGTTTGGAGCCTTGGGAGGAATGTCCGGTTTTGCCCAAGGGGAAGCCTTTCGATTGCTTAACAGCAGGTCTCCCACTGCATCAAATCTGCAGGCACGCTGGTCTGCGGAACATTTTCAACATTGGCCCAGTGCTCAGCGCATGTATGGAGGAACACTTGTTGCATCGGAGCGGTCACTTTTTGACTCCCCCAGATAACTGCACGTCCTATCTTTCTGCACAGCGGCCATCAAGATGCGGCTTGCCTGCACGGGCCCTTCGAAGGGGTAGCCGCGCCATTCAAGCTTCGTCTCTCTTTGCAAATCGCATCTGAAGGATTTCGTAGCTATATTACAGCACACAAGTGGGATGCCCGACAACTAAACCATGAAACACAGGCCTGCATGTGCTGACCCTTTCAGAGCGATGCACAGTACGGGAAGCTGCGGTACTTTCGACATTGGCAGATGAATTATTGGACTATGTTCTAATGCCTTGTGTTTGAATCAGATACGCAAGCATCATGGGAACATCCGACAAGGGCTCTGGCCTGGGCTGCGAGAGCCAGTAGGACATCTACATCTCAAGTTGTCTCGTGAAAAGGGCTGAAGGAGGCGGATGGCGACCTTGGCTCAACTGTCAGGCTTCAAAGGTTTGTGGCGCAGCGCCCAGGACCTTCAATGAATTTGAGGCCTCATGGCGTCTGATCGGTTAATCGGTTAAGGTGATCAAGTTCAAGTTGTTGGTTGCTGGTTCGCCCGAATTTAAATTTGCAATAAGTCTCCTTTGCCATTGCATCGCAGCCTGAGGAATGGCACCGGCGGCCTGTCTTGAAAAGGGAGGGAAGCCACTGCGCAAGGGAATTGGTACAGTAGCACAGCTGGGTCGACATGACAAAAGGAGCTTGACCGAACCCCCCCCCCCCACCCCTTTGCATTCTCAAAGCGACTAAGGCAATGTTACCTTTCAGGTAGCCACTTGGCAGCAGCTGCGTGAGCTCACACGGTCAAATATGATCTTTGGTGTTTGTACCCCTGAATGTGTTTCTTGGGTTGTTTGTTTTTGTTTTTTTGTGTGTGTGTGTGCTCAACATAGAAAAAGTGACGCCCCGTGATTTGTGCCATGCAGGACGATTCCCGCGATTCCTGGGTCAACAGATGGTCCGATGAATTCTTCGATCGGCATTGGCCGCATGCCAGCAATGGTGCGGGATGTCTCCACAATTGCAGCAGAATGATCCGGCCGAAAGCAGGGCATGCCTGCTTTGCAGGGACTGCATATTCACTGGACGAAACGGTCCCATGCTTGTGGATCATTTGTTTGTGTTCGCTTTGGCAAGGCCCTTGCTCCTGGTCATGGCTATGGAAATTGCGTGACTTACCCAGAGAGAGATTCTGGCTGGGCTTGCATACTGGGGGTGTTTGACAATCAGCAAGCTGAGGGTGGTTGGGGGCCTCTATATCTACAAGGTCATGTGGCCTGGAAGCAATTAAGATGTGACAAGATGTTGATGAATTGGCCATCACAAAGTGAGCCACAATCAAAACCCGGGTAGATTCAGGTTAGTAAGGGACAATCCCAACTATTAATAGCTGCGGCCGCCTGCTTAGTTCTTTACATGGTTCTGGGTAGACCATTTTAATACCGGGTTTTGATTAGGACTCAAGTGTACCCCAACGGTTGTGCCCCAGGTGGGTTCGGGTGCAGAAGAAGCGTGCCAAGAATTCAGCCACCTGGCAGGCTTGTGTTCCCTCAGGTATGGAGTGTCACTTCAGCTTTCAGTCAGACTTGTAGCCCTTTCAACATTTGACTAGGGAAATGATGCCGAGGCTGTCATGCGCCTCACAGAGGAGTTCTCTTTAGACTTGCTCCGCCACTTCATGCCATCGGCCAAGGCGGGGCCATGGTGATTGCTTTGCAAACGGTTCTGTTACGCCTGTCGCGCCGAGGTAGAAAAATACCGTTTCCGAGGCAGGAGCAACGGTGATGAGCCGGTGCTTGCAATGGACAGTCGTTGCGAGCTCTTGTCAAAAGACCTCGGGTTTCGCTGAATGCAGCGGCCAAGCTTTGCAGGCATGGCCAAAAAGAAGGCAGTTGCAACTCAGCTGCACTCGCCGGGCCAATC